ACAATTATTAGAAATCAAATCAGGGGGTAGCTAGAACGCTACTGGTGTCCCATAACACTGTACAGAATTTCAATGCACTTATCGGAAGATTGGACTGCACTTATGCAGACAAAACATCGTTGCGTGTCCTCCGACAGGGACTGAAAACGGTCAGGCAAAGAGAACTTGATCCAGTACTACGACGAGGTAGGTAGAAAAGCTGTTGACACTAGTAACGAAGAAAATCATTATGACATACGAACAGGAAAGCGCTGCTCTGTTCAATACTGTTGTCAGAGATGATGCAGTCCATAAGTTCATCTCGGGTCTCAGGAAACCGTTGAGAGCCAGCTCAACCCAGGAATTTTCCCTCAGCCTTGGCTTTAGCTAGGGAATCCGAGGCGAGCATGGAGCGCACCGCCTTTGCGAAATAACAAAAACCGTTCGCAGGAAAATCAGGGAAGAAGTAGCAGGGCCGAAGATAATAATCAAAATCATAATAATCAAAATAATGCGGCCCTTAACATGGAGTTAGGCTCAACTATGGCACATCACAGGCAACCCACCGCCTTCGCTCAGTCTGCCAATGCTAGGGGCGAAATAATCGAGGCCAGAAAAGACATGGATCTGCACGCGTGATGGATGAAATACGTCAAAGAGTGCAGAGCACCATGCAACACGCCGACGATGAAAGCGACCGCGAATATGATAGGTCGGCCGCAGCGGTCATCGCCAAAAAACTACATCAAGCCCGTAAAGGCAATTCAAAATGTCGATTCCCCTTTTAACATTTTTGGGAAAACAGCTGCGTTCTTTCTTTTAGACGCACTGACACCATTTAATGGCATTATAGATATTATTGTCTAGCTCAAGTGGGAGAGAAACTGGACGCAGGGAAAGGTACAATAAATTATGGCTCTGCTCCTGAAAAGCTGCAGCATCATAGTTGCGAGAATGTAAATTTAACTACCGTGAATGACATTAAATTACCGGAATCTGTAAAAATTTAATTTCGGAACATGATCTTAAACAGATATAAGGCATTTTCTGCCTGTAAAAAGGTCCTCCCGTTAACACATCCATTGTTGCCTTGATTTGCACAACTGAGGACAAGCCAATATACTCCAAACCATATCCCCATCCCATGGGTGTGGCTGAATTTGTAAAACAAGAAATAGCAGATTTGCTAGGAAAAGGCATTATTAGAGTTTCAAGGTCGCCTTTAACCCGACATGGGTTGTTGACAAAAATGGTCAAGATGATCTGGGGAATAAGAATAAGTGCTTGGTTATAGACTTTAGGAAACTTAACGAAAAAACCATCGCTGACAAGTACCCAATGCCAAACAACCCCATGATACTGGCGAATTCAGGTAAAGCCTGGTACTTTACAACGCTAGATTTAAAGTCTGGCTATCAGCAGATCTACTTGGCCGATCATAACTGCGAGAAAATCGCCTTCTCGGTGAATGGCAAAATGTATGAGTTTTGTCGACTACCGTTTGGATTGAAGAATGCTGGAAGCACCTTCCAAAGAGCGATCGATGATGTCCTACTAGAACAAATTGGCAAATCTATGCTTACGTAGACGACGTCATTATTTTGGGTTTTAAAAAATTCAAATTATGTGATGCCAACGTGAAGGTGTCCAATGAAAAGACCCAAATTTTGAAGCAAAGTGTGGAATATCTTGGACTTATTGTAACCAATGGTGGTGCAAAAACCAACCCAGAAAACGTAAAAGCGATAAAAGAATACCCAGAACCAACGAACCTGTATGAGCTTAGGTAATTTTTAAGCCTAGCCAGTTACTACCGATGTTTCGATAAAGACTTCGCGGCAATCGCGGGGCCTTTGATAGATTTGCTGAAAGGAGAAAATGGCTCTATCAGCCATCTAGGAACACTCTTTCGAACATTCACTTCGGTAGCATGCAGGGATGGAGGGATTCGGATGGATGCATTCGAGAGGCTGAGGCCGAAGATGTGATCCTCAGATACCCTGAATTCAGGAAACCCTTAATTTCAGGAAATGAACCCGCGTCAATTCTGAGACTATCACATCTCTACTAAAAAATAACTACCAAATTGAAATCGCTATATAATTAACCCCGCTATACAGCACATCAAATGGTCAGGTGGAACGGTTTCACAGTACCTTAACAGAAATCTCTAGATGTCTTAAATAAACAAGAAAATCAGCGATATGGTAGAGCCAGACCTGAGGGCAACAGTAGAGTGCAACAAGACCCTACACTCGGTCACTAGGGAGAAACCGATTGAGGTTCTTCACGCGGGGACCAACGAACGCTGCCTGGACATTAAGCAAAAGTTAATCAAGGCCCAACAAAATAACATCGAACGAAACCCGATACCGTGTTTTTGAGGAGAAGAAGTATTTGTCAAGAATAATAAATGGTTAGGGAATAAGCTAACCCCCAATTGCACTGAACAAGAAATGCAAGTAGACCTTATGTTCTTATAAAGGGGAGGGTGGTCCATAAGGACAACCTCAAAAAGGTTTCCCCAATCATAATTAGATAGTAAGCCAGAAAAACGTGAAATCAAGCCGCCTCACTCTACATTTGGATTGCAGGTTTACCCTCATAGCACTCATCCCCTTAACAGTGGCAAATGCACGGATTACCGACTTTTCCCATCCAACTATATCCCGGTCGCAAACGGAGATGTGCTGGTGTTCAAACGACGCCACTGTTTGAGGCACTCGAGCAATCTTTCTGAGTTCACGGATATAATAGAAGAGGTGCAAATTATTAGATGTTGACATAGGGCATCTGAAAACTTTATTGGGAACAGAACTTAAAGTGGTCGCGGGCACTACCGACGCCTCAGACTTTTTGAAAGTTAGGATGACAAATTATGATAAGGATGCAAACCACAATTAACTCAGAAACAAATAAATAGACTAACCGACACTATAAATAAAATTATCAAAGCCCGCACGAACGATTGGGTTGATGCTCCAAATCTGTATGAGACTCTTCTAGCAAGAAATAGAATGTTGACAACACAGATTCAAAATTTATCCTCATTGTAACTTTGGCGAAAGCTAGCATAATAAATTCTACAATTCTACACTATGCCGATTTGAAACCAATTATTGAATGAAGATATTCTAGTACTTAGTTTACTAGAAGCCGCAAAAATTAGGGTTCTTCAGTTCGATGAAATATAGCATCATCAGGAAATCCTACGGCTCGACGAAGACACGTTGCGACACAGTGCGAAGCTTACACCTGGGCGATCACGAAACAAGTAGGTCATGCAGGAATGGCAAAGACCATAAACAAAAATAAAAAGACATTACTGCCAGTATTGGAGGAATATGACTTTTTCGGTCAAAGAATACGTTACGTACATACGTAATGCAAAAATGCCAAAAATCCAAAACGACAATTCATATGTAATGTGTAACGAAATAAGATGATGGAAGGTAAGGGAACCTGTACTTGCGGGTACCCGCTTTATAATCCGGCTCCAGCTCGTCGGCGTTGGGGGTGGTGGTCTTGATGGAAAAGATACCTCGATACAGGTATCTTATATTGAATAAGATCGAGAACTCAGTGTGCTTGCGACAAAACAATATGTGATCTAGTATACAAAATCGAATGAATTAAGTAAATATATGTATTTCTTCGTTTATATGGTTTTTATTAAACAGCTTAAAAGTGTAACAATATATTTATGTTCTTTAAGATTACACATTTATTTATATAGACTTAGATTTAGTAATTAGATTTAGTAACAACCGCTCTTGGCAATTTTTTCAATCGACTGTCGACTCTACACTCTCCTTTTCTATCGATAACTTCCTCTTGTCTAGGGTTGCATTTTAATCAGTGCTGCAATGTAGAAGTATCGAAACATTTAATACCTATTACCACTGCGAGAATTCTTACTCAAACCAATTCCCACATATATTCAGAAAAGGATAGTTCTAGAAAAGGATGCGAAATGCGGATGGAGATGCGGGTGTATTTGTGGGCGCGGAATGCGTAGAAAATCATTAAATGTAGGTAAGTTAATTATAATACAATAGATACTAAAATGATTAAGTACTAATTATATTCTTGTTTAATAAATTATTTTCTAATTAGTTCCTTTGATTGGTGAATAAAAAAATACAAACGAGTTGTTCATTTGTAAATTCGGTTTGATTATAATTAATATTTAGTAGTTAACTGTATAAATATCATTTCAATTCAATAAAGTGTACCCATTGTATTCTGTAGATGCAATATTCTGGGGTACAAATTATTCAAAATATAATGAAAGTAAGGTTATGAATTCAAAATATTTTCAAAACCAGAAACCAGATTTTCGCGCAGATATAAGGTTAGGTAAGACAGATTAAAGCAACCATTTTTATTCATAATTTATGTTCCTAATATGCAGTATGTGTATGCGGTTGCTTATATCTAATAACCACTGTACTCCAGTAAGGTTATAAGTAATGTCAACCAAAACATTCCAACACTTGTTGCAATGCGCATATAAACGCTGGACTTTAGTTTATGTGTTATATGTTTCTCGATTTCTGAATGTTCAGCATACTTACGCTGCCCAGCTACAGCCACATCATACATGAATATGTACATATAAACGGCATAAGCACATGCCTTCCTTAGCATACCCAAAAAAGCATATGTAAGTAATATATAACACAGCCGGTCTGCTTCTATACATTGGAACTTAATGCTTTAGGATTTTTGCAATTGTAATGTGCAAAGCAGACGGCTTGGCTTATAGGAATCGGCACGAAGGGCGTCAGTATGATGATCGGTTAGCAACAGTCTGAAAACCGCGTTAATTGTTGTGGTATGCCAAAAACGCATTCAATGTTGTTGGTGTTACTCCCGTAACTCTTAAGAGTCCCGTTGTTTTTTAAATAGTTTAATTCATTTTGGCAAATGGAGATGAAAATTCTGTTATCGTTATTTTAGCGACTTCTTTAATGAATGAACAAATATCTAACTATGCGTTTCATATATTTTTTTAACAGTAGTATTCAAGTGCAATTGGACCAACCTCGATTAATCAAGCAGATGACCAGCATTATTTTAAGCCCAATCACAAGTTTGTTTAAAGACCTCATTACAACGTCGATAGCTGATGGCCTAAAAGAACAAATGCAATCGATATTGGATGATTTTAATGATGAGGATCCTTTACAACTGCAAAAATTTGCAAGTAAACTACTTTCAGGAATAACTGGAAATATTTTTTGAGACCAAATGTAAAAATAACTGAAACTGTTATGTATTGTATTACCTTTTTATAAAATGTATATTGTGGCTAATAAAAACATAATTAACCGATCACGATAAAGTTATAGGAGATAACTGTATATACAGGTAAAATAATTTTAGAACATTTTAATTGCGCTTATACATTAAGATTTTAAAAAGAATAAACTATTTTGTGAATCTACTATTACTTCTTTTGAATAGCAAATGTGGGAAGTTTATCGCCGTACAACTATACGACTCTACTCCATATTGAATATGAAAGTAGTAGAAAATCCAAAACTCGAAAAGATGATCTTAAGATTAAGGTCAAGGTAAGACAAAAGGACATGTTTACCATATCAAAGCTAAAGTTGAGGGGGAAATACAATATGGAAAATGGATTCAGAAAGTACACCATGGAAATCGTTTTTTTATTCCCGGTTCTTGTGGAAGAAAAGGTTATGCCAGTTTGAGAGTTCGTTCCAGATTGCAACTTTTAAAGTGTTCGTTTTTATTTTATGACAACACCTATCGTTATGCCGACATTCATTTTTGAAAATGTTTTGCTTTAGATGCTCTCTCTTTTTCTCTGCCTGTTTGGGGGTATACTTAGTTGTGTTGAAGCTGTAATAAGTTCCTCATTCTGAATTGCTATGTTACCTGTTATGGTTCCTGTATTTAAATGAATGGTAAATACGAATAAACAACAAACATTGTGACGACGTCAAAAGATGACGACTCATACTTCTCCATGATACCCCTTTTAAATATGGTCAAAATTACATTTCAATTACATTAATTGAAAAATAATAGCAATATTATAAATTATGTGAGACCCTTCTTAAAAAAAAATTTACCTAGTCATAAATATAATTCTGAATTTCACACAATTCTATATTTCATGATGTAGCTGCAAAACGTTATTGTTGAGCTAATAAGTTTTCTACTAGTTATTTTTACGGAATGAAACGTCGATTTATATGTAGCGATTTCGAAAATAAGATCAATTTGGTTTGTTAGAGCAAATTTGGCGTCGATGAGCCCAGGCATTGGTTTTGAAAGCTTATGTGTAATGGGCGACTGAATTGCAGAGCGAACAGAAGAACGCCAAGTCAAATATGCAAGCGCATGAGTACAAGAGAGACAGCGCGGGAGGGGCGACCTTAGATGCTCCCGCAGCTTTATTCCCTCGTCATCGCAATATTTCACAAAGTCTTGCGATGTAAATGCCGAGCCTCTATTTGAAATAATGAATGCTGGGTTCCCAAAGCTAAGATTTGGTTGCTGAGCTTCACCTCGTATGCTGTGGACATCGTTGGGTGGATAGAATATTACCGCCAAAATGTGTTTGTAGTCCTTATGCGTTGACTCAAGCGGACCCACAAAGTCAATATGGTATGTAAACAATGGGACTTCTTCTTTGTGTAGCTGGTGTATAGTTCCTTTTTGTTTGCCTCGTTTGCAATCCGTTGAAATGCACTCACCAAATAATTTAAATGATAGACAGGCTCGTGTTTCCTTTTTAAATCTTATTTTCTTATTTTCGTACTGTATCTGCTTGATGTTCTCTCGGGCTGATTTCCTGCATCAAGTCCTTTAATTCATTGCAGCCGACTCCTGTGAAATGCTCGTACTTCTTTGCTCAGTATTATTAATAATTAGCTGAACTCTTCCAACGTAAGTATACCAAGCAACTGGCCATTCCATTTTTGCAAGCATTGTTACGACGATCTTATGAATTTTTCGACTTGGCCATTTTTCCGTGGTACTCTTGTCGCTATGAGCAAATGTTGGATGTTTTTTAATTCGCAATACTTCTTGAACGCCAAAGATATAAAAGCAGTTCCTCAATCAGACATGAAATGTACGGTTTGCTTCTTGAGACAGGCTAACCCTTCATCGACACCGGTGTAACGAGTTGGGTAGAGCCAGATATATTTCGAAAACCATCCACTACGACAAGGAGAGATTGTAGCGCTTGGATGTCGTCGGATGGACCGACGTGATCGATGTGTTACGTAACGAAGGACCTTTTGACCTTTGTCAATTGAAGTTAGAAACACCTCCCTCTTGCCTGTTTTTGCATTTATGATAATTCATCTGATACACCTCTCGACTGTTTGTTCTTTTACCTTGGGAATGAAGTGTAATTTTTCGGTGAGATTCTGTGTCTTCCTGGCAGAGAAATGTCCTTGATTGTGTGCGTTCTGAATTATCTCATTTTCCTCGGCTATGGACAACAACAAGTTATCGATTTGGGTCTTTCAAAAGAACGTCGTTTTAGATGTAGAAGTCCTAAATTATGTAGAACCATGTACATTTTATTTTAGGTGTATACCCTAAGTTGTCCCACGCCACAGTCCGTTGGGAAGGGGTGAAGACGTCAGCGTCGATGTACTCGGCTGCTCTGTTAGGGCTGTTTGTGTCGGAGGTCTTCTTCTCCGTTGATGACGTAAATATCGACGTAGTCGGCTTATCGGTAGCAGTAAAGTACTGGCACTAGAAAAACTTGCATATCTCACCATATCGGGAAAACCAGTGTGAACCAGGCCTCTAAAGGCGTTTATGCTAAATCTGCATGCAAAAATACTAGGGTAATCACTTAAGACTTACCGTCATTACTTACCGACTTAAGTTTACTCACATCGTTAACTACTCTCCCCTTAGAAGTTTTACCGTCCTCGGTCATCTGGAACTTGTCCCTCGCGTCTTGTCTCTTCCTCAAAACTAAGATAGAGCAGCTAATGAAGACGCTGGTTCCCATGCCGACCGCAAACCAGATGTCAGTAGTTTCAGCCGATGTCACCTCCTTCTGAAGCCCTTGGATAACCTACAGGTTTTCGTTATTAACGCTTTGGAGAAGTAGTATGCAGAGCCTTGGATCGTGGCCGATGATGTTTAGCAATGGGGATGCATTCATACCCGTTGTTTTCCTATGAATTCATGGTGCAAACAGGAAAACAAACAATGAACATAGATCCATCGTCTTCAAAGTTAAGACATCCCACGAACTTTAGACAGGGAAGTAATAAACATGCCCGTAAGAGAGGGTTTTCAATGTTGAGCAAGCCGCCAATGCGGAAGAAGAAGAAGAAGATTGCGCACCTGCGCAATCAGGTATGGAAACGTATCTGAGCAGGTAAAACTCTACGAATGCGATACTGTGAACTTCACAAATATCGATGACGTAGAAGTCCCAAGTTCAGTGAAAGCTGAATTTAAAAACAAAGATCCTTAAAAGGAAACAAGTGTTGTCGCACCTAACGAGGCGCTGCCATTTAACACCTCGATCATTGTCACATTTCGTACGGGGATTAACGAACCCGTATATTCCAAGCTTTATACGTATCCCATGGGAGCAGCGGATTTTGAGCTATTAAAGAATAGCATTATTCGGCCGTCTAGGTCGCCAATCAACAGCCCAACATGAGTTGATGAAAAAAGGGGACCGATGCCGACAGCAACAAAAACAGCGTCTAGTGATCGATTTCAAGAAACTGAAGGAATCAAGCATTGTCGATCGGTAACCTATGCCTAGACTTAAGATCGAGGTACTACCAGATTTATCTGGCTAAAAAATAACCGCGAAAAACTGCTTTCTCCATAGACGGGTAAAAGTATGAATTTTGCCGTCTACCCTTTGTTCTGAAGAATGCAGAAATAATCTTTCAAAGGTCGGTCGACGACGGGCTTCGCGAACAAATCGGGAAAAGTTGTTACGTCGATGTAGACGATGTGATAATTTTCTCCGAAAATGCGGCGGACCACGTCATACACATTGACACAGTTCTTAAATGCCTTTGTCAAGCCCACATGAGAGTGGCCCCAGAAAAAAACAAATTCTTCAAAGAAAGTGTTGTTACATTAAACAAAGTGAAAACAGATTCAGAAAAGGTAAAAACCATAGAAGAGTATACTGAACCAAAAAATTTATTCTACCTCAGGTCTTTTCTTGGATTAGCCAGTTACTACAGAAGTTTTGTCAAAGACTTCGCTTCTATAGCTAGACCACTGACCTCCATACTTAAGGGAGAGAATGGCACTGTTAATAAACAGATGTCAAAAAAGGTCGCATTTGAATATATAGAATATTTACATATAATATATATGAATTTGGCGCATTTATTATCTTCTAAATAAATATGAAAATCCATAGCCAATAAATATTCTTTTATAAAGCACATACAAAATTAATTTAAATTCATTTAAGCGGTTAAGAATATTTAAAAAATGAATTAATAATTTAAAGTAATTGTATAATTTTTTGAGTATATACTAGAGTGTATATAAGATTCGTTCAGAAGTATGTACCAGGTATAAAGCAGCGTTTCCGACAGCGTTTCATGATCAGTATTTCTCTCCGAGACGACTCAGTTTCAGGAACCATACAAGCCAGAATGAAGATATTAGCTCAAAACGTATTATAGAATGTTTCCACACCCACAAACCGTCTGTAACTTGACCAGCACACTTTTGAAAAAAAATTGTTTTTGTTTTCATTTTATCTATATTTTCGATTTCTATCATTATGATGGTTTCGACTCACTCGCCTTGAGTCCTTGATTGGGGTTCTGTGACAAAGGCGATCATAAAATACGTACGCCATCCAAGCCGGTTTGAGTCCAAGGACCAGCGCGGCCAAGAAAATCCCCCACGTGGCACCTTTCTCCTTTTCTACATAATTCTTTTTCTAACTTAAAAAAACTAACCCTTTGCCTCCTTATGGCCTCCTTCATTTCGCTAGTTCGTTCGATTCTTGAATATGGATCACTTACTTGAAGTCCGCAAAACAAAAAAAAAAACAAAATAGAATTCTATAGTCGAGTTCCCCGACTACCCTAAGCTAGTGGAAGTACAAACAGGAATTTTAAAAATTTTCTGGAATATCGGTCGAAATTGGGGGAAAAAAAAATTTTAAAATTATACATATGTAACTCCAGGATTTAAATATAATATTAATTTAATTTTCTTAGCAAAACAGCTTTTCCCTTTTTGTGAAGAAAGTTTCTTCCTCAGGCTCATTGTTTTTATGTCCATTCATTAATTATTTATTTACTAGTTAACTTGTTATTTAAGATCTAAAATTTATAATCTAAAATGGTTTACATTGCATACTGTAATATAAATACGCATTAATAGGTACACCCCATTATACACTGAACATTAATAATTTTCTTTTGCTAATAATATTTTTATTTTTGACTTTGAAATATAAGGTTGTCAAATATCTCCCTTCCTTTTTGTCTTTTGAATTTCGCGGCTAGCGCCATAGCGCCAAGTGATTACCACCTGTTCCTGTCCATGGCGAATGCCCTTGGTGGTGTAAAGTTGAACTCAAAAGAGGCTTGTGAAAAGTGGCTGTCCGCTTTCTTCGCAAATAAGGAGGGGAGCTTCTACGAGGGATGTATTATGAAGTTGCCGTCTAGATGGAAACAGATTATCGAACAAAACGGCGCATATTTGAACTGAATCCGATCACTGTAACTCTTTTTATAAAGCATTAAATAAAGAGCAAAAAAGCGGAATGGAGATATTTGACAACCTATTATATGAATTTGGCGCATTTATTATCTTCTAAATAAATATGAAAATCCATAGCCAATAAATATTCTTTTATAAAACACATACAAAATTAATTTAAATTCATTTAAGCGGTTAAGAATATTTAAAAAATGAATTAAAAATTTAAAGTAATTGTATAACTTTTTGAGTATATACTTCGATCAGAAGTATGTACCAGGTATAAAGCAGCGTTTCCGACAGCGTTTCATGATCAGTATTTCTCTCCGAGACGACTCAGTCTCAGGAACCATACAAGCCAGAATGAAGATATTAGCTCAAAACGTATTATAGAATGTTTCCACACCCACAAACCGTCTGAAACTTGACCAGCACACTTTTGAAAAAAAATTGTTTTTGTTTTCATTTTATCTATATTTTCGATTTCTATCATTATGATGGTTTTGACTCACTCGCCTTGAGTCCTTGATTGGGGATCTGTGACAAAGGCGATCATAAAATACGTACGCCATCCAAGCCGGTTTGAGTCCATGGACCAGCGCGGCCAAGAAAATCCCCCACGTGGCACCTTTCTCCTTTTCTACATAATTCTTTTTCTAACTTAAAAAAACTAACCCTTTGCCTCCTTATGGCCTCCTTCATTTCGCTAGTTCGTTCGATTCTTGATTATGGATCACTTACTTGAAGTCCGCAAAACAAAAAAAAAACAAAATAGAATTCTATAGTCGAGTTCCCCGACTACCCTAAGCTAGTGGAAGTACAAACAGGAGTTTTCAAAATTTTCTGGAATATCGGTCGAAATTGGGGGAAAAAAAAATTTAAAAATTATACATATGTAACTCCAGGATTTAAATATAATATAAATATAAATTAAATATAACAGTAGGCCTGGGCAATTAAACGAGATTACATTATTTATATATGTTCCCTACAAACTCCCTGTTTGACTAAGAAAAGTTAATGTTAAAAGCTAAAATGTCTACAGCTAATACTAATTTTAGCTTTATGCCGAAGTCTTGCGGATTAATTAAGAGAAATGGCTAAGCCGTGTAAGTAATTTATTTAATCTTAAGCTGCATTTTTCTTTTCGTTTGCGGTGGTTTGAAATGTTTCGCGCGTGGTTTACCAAGTCGTAACTAAGTGTGCACTACACTTGAGTTGTGGCTAGCAGTGCTAGTAGTAGTTAAAATGCGCCGCTATTTGCTTTGTCTGAAAACGACTTAAATTAGAATGTGAGTATTTAAATCTAAACAGGATTCACATACCGAATCAATAAGAGCCTCAATGTTACTCGTTCTTGCTGAATATAGTTAGTACGGGATCCACAGCACAACTTTTTAAGTGTTTTTTACTTACACGTGGCTTATTTTCTTTCGTTGGCTAATGAAATAAGTTTCACGTCTGTACTATCTGAGTTTTTTCCAAGAAAATACCGATTTGACACCGAAAACAATAACGACTAGATTCTAACAGTAGCAGTGTGGCATTTCGGGCAGATCCTGCGTTTTAAAATTTGCATGAATAGCTAAATGGTTATTTTTGACTTCGATGTTTTCAAAAAACCGTCCTCATCGCTTTTTAATATGTCAATCAAAGAATGTAATTTTCCGCCTGCCTGGATGCAGTCCATAGTCGTCATGCTCTTAAAATACATCCAATATCGCGAATTGCTGAGCCTATATTCCATACACCAAGTCTATTTCTGCATGTCATGTGCCGGGTGCCGATCTAAAAATTTTCTTGGGCTTACATCAATAATAAGTCACAAATTTTATAGTAAATACCAAACTGATTCTATATTTACGGACTTTTTGAAATCTTTCGAAGCGGTAAGAGAAAAAAATCTACTGACAAAATTTCCGAAACAATTTTTTAATATGGATATATTCTTATTTCAAGCAATTAAAATAATCTATGGTGTGTCTCAAGAAAGCGATTTCCACCATCTTTTATTCGGTATTTTAATAAACTACAAGTTATTAAGTCTGCAATAGTTTTACTGTTCGCAGACGTTGTTAAACTGTGTTTGTTAATGTCACTTTCTAACCCTTTTTCTCGCCTACCATTTTAAATCTTGGCTAACCATCCAAATTCATATTTTCGTTCCATTCTATTGATTTATGTTTTTTTTTCATTTACAAGTGTAGGTCCAAAGAGTTCGATGGTCCTTATACAACCAAGCGTTTCTACGTATCTCTTCTTCGTCCATCGATGGCGTACTGTTCTTTTTTGCCACAGCAAAGTATAACCGACCGAAATTCGTGATAATACAGTGTCCTATATTTGATTTTGAAGCAGTGCATCCATAAAAGTTACCTAGTTATTATTAAATATTACTTAAGCCTGGCGAAAAAAAGGGGATAGGAAAACTTCTGTGACAGCATCGGGATTTCACCGATCAAACCGTGATACTTTTCATTTTGATTTGACATCTGCAGGAGATCTTGACAGAAATAAAATAAAGAAAACAAATGAAATTTATGTGATACATATTTCTCTTTTATTATTACATACATAAATAATTTTTAATAAGTGGAACAATTAAAAGTTTTTAAATAAATTTTTATACTACTGAAACCGGCTTGTCATTTCTTAAATATTCTTCAAAATGTTTATCTTCCATAAGTACTGGATCAAAATCATCAATTATCTGACTTAACGCAGGATTATCCAACATAGTTGTATGATTTCCTTCGATTACCTTCAGTGTTACTGTTCCAGATGTCAGTAACGAAATGCAATAATCTTCATCAATATCTTGCAGAGAAGCTTCAGCTGGCCGGACTAAAGTAATTGGAGATTTAATTTTTGTTATACCATCTAAATCAAAGGAAGCAGCCATTTTTACTCTGTTGAACATGGCTTTTACCATTGTCGAAGAGTATTCCTTGCTGTATATATTTTGCTTTTCAACATATTCCATAAACAGCGACATTTTTTCTGAGAGGCAGTCAACTTGGTGAAAGACTGCGGACACAGATTCCTTAGATTCTTCTGGAAATATATGATTAACAATACTAGAAAAAAGAAGATCGTAAAGGTCGTTATCCGAAAATTGTTCGCCCAAGTGCAGATTAGTAAGTCGTTTCAAAAAATGTGGTGCTCCATCTAATAACATTATATGTCCACGGAACCCAGAATTTTCGAGCAACTCGGCAAGCTGTAAAGCTATAAACGTTCCATATGAATATCCAATGATATAAAAGGGTTCTGTTTGCTTTAAAATGAGCTTAACTTCCTGTAAAATATAATGCAATAATTAATGGGGTGTACATCGTATTTAAAACATGTTATTTACATCAAAGCTTTGGTGTGCCACATCTTTAAGATTTTCCAAATGTGCAAACTGATGAAGCTGTAGAACGATAGCTCGACTTTGCAGATTTGATCCTAATTGGTGCCATGCACGTCCAGCTGTACCCTCTAATCCAGGTATAAAAATGTTTGGTTGAAGGTTCTGCTTTGAGGGTGCTGCAGATGTCTTGAGCGGGATAATTACTTTGTCACAGTTCGCTTCATCGCCTAAGTTTCGAATCAATAGGTCCATTCCCAAAAGCTTATTGTCGGAAGCAAATATCATTTTCTTGCCATCTGTATTTTCTTTTTCCTTAGCGTCAATGAACTCTTGGAGCTTTTGAAAAGTAAGGAGTCGTAAGTCTTGGGGAGTCAAGACTAGCTCGAAGTCGCGTTCTAAAGTTTGCTTAATCTCAACAGCCATTAAGGAATCCATACCCATTTCTGAAAGTGTTGTACCTAACGAAACTGATTTTAAGTCTCGTATTCCCATTATATTCATGACGGCGTCAATAACACTTTCATGCCCAGACCGCAAAGATCGTTTTTCAGCGACGACCATGCTTGAAACAATTGATGCATTACCGATAAGTAAATGGTCAAGTTCCTGAATACATGATGAAATTCGTTGTTGTAGGGTACCTCCTATTTCCATGTCAATTTTGTCCTCTGCCATATCTGCCACCAAGCCCACTTCACCAATTGCACCCCATTGAATAGCTTTACCTGGAAGGCCGTCTCTATTGCGATGCTCAATTATACGTTCCATAACTGAATTGGCCATTCCATAATTTGATTGACTTGCGTTCCCCCGACCACAAGACACACTGGAAAAAACTACAAAATGTTCCAGCTCGGGACAATAAATGCGGGAGAGATCATCTAAGTATTTGGTTGCGATAGCTTTTGGTGCAAAGCATTCTACAAATTTGTTTACATTTTGATTTGGAAAAAGGCAATCTTTTAACACAACTGCGAGATTGAAAATTCCTCCCACTGGGCCCATACCAGTAGCCTCAGAAAGCAGTTGAGTGCATCCCTTTTTTGATGTTATATCTGCGGTGCTGATAGCGACTTCGCAACCATAACTTTTCCAAAGCCTAATTTGAAAATATAAATAAATATAAATAAATTAAAATATAAATTAAATATTGAAATGACTTACGCAATTCTAAATAACTGATAATCTTTTGTAATTCCACGGCTGGAACTAAGCAAAAGTTTTCGTGCTCCACGTAAAGCCATCCAATCAGCCAATTCCATTCCAAAACCTCCTAGGCCACCAGGAATGACATAAGTAAAATTTTGCTTAAAATAAACTTGACTAAGTACGCGGACAGGTAAAGTTGATGGATCATGGGGCTGTTCACGAACTTGAATAACAACTTTTCCTATGTGTTTGCCACCAATCAAATGTCTAAAGGCCTGTTCAATTTCATGAGCAGGGAACACTTTAACGGGTAATGGTTGTATGATTCCTTTAGAAATGTCCAAGTCAATTAGGGCTTTTAAATGCTATTTAAATAAGAGATAAACTTGAGAGATTATATTTCTGTGTTTTTTAATTAACCTATTACCCAAATATCTTCATCAGGAGCCACAAGAAGGCTATCAGCCAAGACCGCATGGAAAGTAATTTCTTTTAAAAAGCAACCCAATCCAATCTTGTTATCGTTGGCCATATCAAATTTTCCAATTTCCAAGAAATGTCCTGACTTTCCAAGGCAACGCAATGAAGCCAGCAGCTTTTCTTCGGATAATGAATTCAAAACAAAGTCCACACCTCTTCCATTCGTCTCACGCTGCACCATAAGCTCGAATGATGTGTCTCGAGAATTTCCAATATGGGTCTCTAAAATTTTAAAAATATTTTTTATTCTATATTAAAATTTATCTAGCCCGGAGTGAAGTATCGGCTTATATATTGCTTGATTAAATCAACGGTGAATGTGAGTAACCAACTCAATACTTGAAAACTGAGTTCCTAGTACTGATGAGATTGACTTGTTACTACCCCAGTAGTCTATTTTCTCAATGTGTAGATTTTTTTAAAGTCTAAGCCAAAACTTATTTCCGAGCTAGAAGAAACTTTTTTTTTTTATAAAATAGGAAGTCTCAAAAATATGTCAAAATTTATGAATATGTAATTTTAAAACATTTTTGAATATTACCTTTAAGTTTCGGAAAGGTGTTTAATAGGAATTCCTTTTTTTGAGCAGTACTACATGTTGTGAAAACTTCCAAGTTATAAGCCAGTGCGACTCGGATAGCGGCTAAACCAATGCCTCCAGTACCAGCATGTATAAGAATGCTTTTTCCTTTTCTGATATCGGTTGCCATAAAGAACGCATAGTATACAGTTATATACACCACTGGCACTGTAGCTGCCTCTTCTAATGACCAGTGATCGGGAATATCCCAAATAAGTTTTGATGGCTTTTCTACATAGGAAGCAACACCACCTTTTACGACCATGCTCATTATTCGACGTCCAGTTAACATATTGATGCCAGAGTATTCAAACCCCAAAACACAGTTTTGATCTATTCGGCTTGAACCATATAATTCAACTGCTAACCGACCAGTTGCTAGCATTACATCTCGAAAATTTAGGGAAGAGAAAGCTATTTTAATCTGACAGTTTTGTGAATCAGAAGGTCCCTTTAGCCATTGCAAGCTCGACAAATCTCCACGTTGAATGACGTTTCCGTAAATGTGATCTAGTCTCTTAGATGGCTGATCACTTTTGAGTAATGGCAAATGCCTATAGTTTCCCCAAGAACCCTTATTAAAGATAAATTTATATATTTTAGGGGAAAAGATATATATACAAATTTAAATGTAAGACTTACATTGCGATAGATGTTAAATGCCAAACCCAACGAATACTGCGTCGAATAAAAAGGGTGAGACAAGTCAAAATCTGGAGCACTGTCATCATCAATAAAAAAACATCTTATCAAATTACCATCAGGTTCCTTTCGCAAACAGTTTACAAGACCAATTAGTCCATTAAATACTTCGTTAAACGAATACACAACAACTGGGGC